TTCGGCTGCGCTCTGGATAGGAGCAGACGTCGCGGATGCGCGGTGGAGAAGCACCAATGACGAAGTACGTGCTTAGTTAAATGACAGGATTTTCTGTACCTTTGCCTGTTCACCACAAAATACTAGCATTATATGTCAAAGTTTTCAGTTCACGCTGGTAGAGCCGCTGCTAAGGACAACAGTAATCCTTATCCTCATGAAGCGTTTCTTGTATGTGTAGACCGTGACACAATTGAGTCAATTAGATTAAAGGAGCCAGTGATTTTCTATGAAATACTGAACGGCGCAATGCACATAGGCGTGGAAGCATTAATATAGCACACGTCGATCAATTTTTTACTAAACCCAAAGATTGTAAGGTTGGTAAGTAAAGACAGCTTAATCTATAAAAACTTGCAACTTCAATTGATTTTGTACCGCAGGCAGTGAATACAACGCTGAATTCAACTGCAGACGATGTCAAGGGCATAACATGGGTATGCTTTTTGGAGGAGATGGATGGTGGTTGGAGGCGAATGGCTGGTCTCTCTGATGTCGACCATAATGGGATTCGTCATGATAGCCGTCTACCACCAACACCGCTAGTTGCGAAGGCTGAAGCGATGGAGAAGAAGTGTCGATTTGTTTATAGAATCGTGAAGAGCCTCAGCTAGAGATTACTGATCAAAACATTTGTAGAGATATCGATAAATTTTAGTAAAAGATTTGTTGCTTAGTTGTGGAAAAGACTTCAAGACTCTCTCATATTTCTACCAAGGGATTTGTATGTTGCGCTATGGTGAGCATTTTGTTATTTTTCTTTTTGCAAATTCCTACCTTAGAGGTTTTGTTCTTTGATTTATTAACAATCAAGCAGCAAAACTGCTAAACGTCTCCTTGGACGAAAGAAGTACAAGAAGATTATGAAAATTGGCATTACCGGGGGTATTTGGAGAGCTTGAAGCAAAAACGAATTGTTATAGTGCTGCCCTTTGAGATGAAAGAAGGTAAGGGATGATGACAACATAATATGGCATGGGAATTTATTAAATTTACAGTGATGTTCTATCCGAAACATACGGGTGAAGCGCAATTTTCTGCGTTGTTCATAGGAAACAAGGAGAGTATCGGCTCTCCGAACACTGCTTGCCATTCTTCTCTGCTAATGCAGATAGTTGAACAGTTAAATCGCGGAATAACGCACTTCAAGGGCACAAGCAACGTATAACTACATGTTCCAACATGAGTTCGACGCGTTCG